AGCTGGGGTCCCACCTATTGAAGTGTTGAATTAGGGCCTTTTTCTTCTCCTCTGACCAAATCAAGCTTTTCAATGTTCTCTTGTTTTTGGTGCTGCACATGGGTTTTCCATTGGTTTTTCCTTTTCTGTATCCGAGGTTTTGAAGCCCTGCACAGTCTTTTGGTGGGGTCTCTTTGGCGGGGGTCTTCTTTTCCTCCTCCCGCTTGGGCTCAGCTTTTATGGGTATCATTGGCAGGGCCTTACTCAGTCTTTCATTTTTCAGCTTTTCAGCTGTGACCACGACAATTTCTTTCAGGGCTGTGGGCACATTGAGGTTCTGAGCGAAATGTGCTGAGCCTCTCACTGCCACCTTTTCTGCCATGTCCCATTGCAGGTCTCCAGACCTCAGGCCACAGGTGCTGATGACGACTCTCCTCAGTCCCTGATGTATTGGATGATACAATCCTCGTTCCAATTTTTTCATCATTAGGCGGACATAGTTTTCCTTGTCCTCACCTTTCTCATATGCTGGTACTGGGTCGTGGATGATTCCATAGTGGGCCAATCCTGCTCCACTAGTCATTTGGGGTCGGTCTGGATCRTTCTTGTGGGTTTCTCTTAACTCCCTTACCTCCTTCTGGCATTCATGCCCCGCATTTTTTATCAGGGCTTTTCTGAATTTCCCATTGTAACTTTTGTAGTRATGGTCGGTGAATATCAGCAGTCCATCACTTGAGATGACCCATGGGTCTCCCACAGTTTGATGCAGGACTGTGCCATTCTGCATTCAAATATTCAGGGTTTCCTCGGAGAGAGGGCCTAGCTGGCCTCGTCTCGGGGTCCCTGGTTCTGTGTGGTGCTGTTTGCGGTCACATGTCCGGTGTTTGTTCTCGCCTTCAGTGATGGAGGCGTTTTCAAACTGTTCGGTCAAAGCCTTCACAGTGTTCCGGTTTCTGACTCCTTTTGGCTCTGATTCTGGGCTTTGACCCAAATAAGTTTTTATGTCGTTCAAAGCCTGAGTCAGTTCTCCTGTTTCTTTATGAAAGTGGGATCGATCATCGCCACCTTCTTCCTCACTGGAAGCACCTTCCAGTGAGGAAGGTCCAGTGAGGACCTTCGCCGATGGGCTTACCAGCTTCACCACGTCGCCTTTCCATCCTTTTACTGTTGCCAGCTACCATTTGACCCATTCTTCCTTTTGGGCTTTCTTCTTAGTCTCTGTTGGATGCAGCAGCATGACTAGCATGGCTCCATCATCCAGACTGGGCCCAAAGAAGAATGTGTTCTTGGTCATAAGGTCTTCCAGTTCAGCCAGGGCTTGCACTGGGTCTGTTTTTGTGGAGTGTGACATGAAGAGTGCCATTGTGGTGGGATGCCACTCCTTGGTCCCCCTGCCATAGAGCATAACTATGCATGGTGGGGTTTGCTTGATCTCTGGGTTGGGGCCATTTCTTATGAGGTCCCCGCACTCTCCTCATCCAGCACGGCTGCTTCGGCCATTGTGCTTCCTTGTCTTGATTGGAGTTGTCGATCCCRAAAGCCTCCTGCACGCGTTACAGGACCGGGATGAGGTCTCAATGATTGTAGCTACTTAACCTGCGGTCGCTGTGTTATTTCCAGCAGTCTCTGCTGCAGGGTTCTTCCTTCTCCCACTCTTCGAGTGGGTGTTGTGAAGGTTGTGTGCTATTGGCTCTCTTTTAGCACAGTGAGCAGTCAACTCTCAGTTTCTGCTCTTGTAGACCAGCTGGGCCATTCCTCCAACTCTTCTCTTCGGGGGCGGTCCTATTTTAGGCCACGCCCACCCAGGGACGCCATGTTTTCCTGTGTGGCTCCACCCCCAGTTTACCCACCAGGACACCGATGGGTCTTGGAGAGGAGACAATGTCTCCCTCTTGGTTTGGAGGCGATCGACCAGACTTATAGCCACCTGGYGGTGGCCTGTGTGGCCGAGTCCGGTGTGTCTCCTCCGGGATACAGTGACGGGAGCCTTTAGCTCGGCCTCCAGCTGCCTTCCTTCTGGTGGTCGCTCCCTTCGTGAACCCTGGCCTCTGGATCAGCGCAGTAGCTCAGGACGCCTCCAGCAGCCGGTCACCACTGTTATTGGTAGACGGTCCCTCTTAGGATCTGCACTTCTTACTGTGACTGAGATGATGTTTAGTGACCTGGACAGTAGGTCTCAAGGGAAATGTTAAAGGGAGTTATCCTATCTCCCCAGGATAATAACCATTAAAAATGAACTTAAGTTATGACCTCTTATCATTACCTCTTGTTTTCAAAGCAAACACACTCAATGATACTGTATGTTAATACCTTGTTGCTTTGAAGTAACAACACACTCATGTAAATAAAAACTTTAAAAACCAATGTCCAGTCATAAAATTGTCTTTATGATGCTGTAAGCAGTTTAATAGAAATTTGCAAGAAAAGCCACATTTGATTATACAGATTAAAAATATTGAATAATAACTGATGGTGATAGAAATAAAAAGATCTAAGTTGCTGACCTAACCTAGCGACTAGGCTGTGTGGCATTTTCTGTTAATCTGGACGGAAGGACAGTAGGGGCAGGGTTGGTTGTACCTCCATGAAAAGCAGCAGGTTGATGCCAGAGAGCACCTCTCAAAGCTGGGTTGTTTAATCTGGTCTTTGGTCTGTCGATCGCTGGAGAGCAGTTGTTGCAGCTTGTCCCAGCTGAGACGTCTCTTGGATCTGTTGCTCCGCTTCTTGGGCTGTCCTTGCCTTTGRTGCCTCTTCTCCAGATGGGGCCAGAAGACGACTTACTGCTGAAACTGCTCCATTTTTATACAGTTTTTTTGGGCCATCTTACCCCCCTTTCTACCATCATGTGATAGGCTGGGGCTTTCCACCACTGGATTTTTGTGTACTTTCCAGGGTGAAGTAATTTTGCTGATTCTGGTTATTGGACTGTCAGGGACTTTCTGTGGTGAGTCAAAACCGCCTTTTTTTCACCACAGGGCCTCTGGGACTTTCCAGACAAAAACCTCACTTCCTCTTTCTTCTAGTACAGTTTGTCCTTTTAACCGTCCAAACGTAGCACYCACACTCTTTCTTCATTTTAAGACATACAATAACACTTCTTTTCTAAATCACCATCTTACATTAAAACACATTAATTATCACAGTACATTAGTTAAATCACACTTTGCAATAAGCATGTAATCATTACTTTTGTTATTTATTTGCCAGCATTAAAATCAATCAAAACTGATACCTATTACTCCTTACTACTCCTTCTCTTTCTTCTTCTTGATTTTTCCTTCCCTCAGGCCTGCATCTCGGTCTCTCTTGAGGCCTCTCTTTCTGTCGCGTCCTCGTCTCTGCTGGGGGTCAAGGCCGGGCTCCGTTGGCCTGTTTCAAATCCTTCTAATGGATGGCACAGCCAGGTTCCTTGACAAAAACTTTGATCATACAGCTCACAACTAAATGAATTCTGTCCTGGGTGTGTTTTCTGTCCTGTGTGGATTCTCATGTGTGCGTTTAAATTGCCCTGTTGGCTAAACCTTCGATCGCACAGCTCACAACAAAATGGTTTCTGTCCTGTGTGGATTCTCATGTGTGTCTTTAGACTGTCCTGCTTGCAAAACCTTCCATCACACAGCTCACAACAAAATGGTTTCTGTCCTGTGTGGATTCTCATGTGTGTCTTTAAACTGCCCTGTTGGCTAAACCTTCGATCACACAACTCACAACAAAATGGTTTCTGTCCTGTGTGGATTCTCATGTGTTTGTTTAAACAGCCCTTTTGGGTAAACCTTCGATCACACAACTCACAACAAAATGGTTTCTGTCCTGTGTGGATTCTCACGTGTCTGTTTAAATTACTCTTTGTGGCAAACCTTCGTCTACACAAATCACAACAAAATGGTTTCTGTCCTGTGTGGATTCTTATGTGTG